GAATATATGATCCCTTATCTAATGGACGCGTCATTGACTAGGTCAGAGTTCGACAGTGGCTTTTAAGAGCTACGATTGCTAGTCGGGTTGGAGTCATGCTTACAATAATAGTTATTAGACTTATCCAAGTGGGAGACTGTTGGATTAGGTGTCTAAGCTCATAACTATTATTGGTATGTACTTAACCCGAGAGTAGCATGGTCCATTTGGGTTGCATGGCATCGGAACAATCTGAAGGATGGATAATTGAGAAGAGGTTATTTATGGTTTATTAATATATTATAAGTTCTAATATATTAATATGAAATCATATTATTTAATTAGTATTGATCAAGAATTAATTTGGAATTAATTTTGTGATCAAAAGAGACTAATTAAATATATGGGGATTGATTATGTAAATCATTCATTCTTATAATGTGGGCTTATGATCCATAGTTCCTTATGTTGGGCTTAACCCATGGATGATCCATGGAGGTTTAAACCCATGGAGCATGAGGAATATGGAAGGTCATGCACATTAGGGTTTGCATGGTGTAACCCTAATTGAGCCACACTATATAAGAACCCCTCTAGCTCATGAAATCGACACTTAAGTGGTTAGACAAGAGGGCAAGACGATTTTATGAGTGCAAGTAACCTCCTCTCAAGTTCCTCCGTTGTTGGTGGTGTTGTGTGATTCCATTTGAGGTGCAACACTTGGGGCACTAAGTTCTTAAAGGTCCAAGGTTTCAACTACACTAAAAGGTATGTCATCTAACTTGTATTTCATGTTGTTTATACTCCATTGTATGCTAGTTAGGATGATGCTTTGGAATATTTAATGTATGCATGTATAATAAAGAAAACATAGATCCAAAGCATCTAGGGTTGCATGTACACCATAGGAGTGTTAGAATGCTCAAAATCAAACACTAAACGGGTACAACCCAAAAACATATAAGTAGGCCAAACCCAACAATATACAAGCATTTATGACACCCAGTTTCCTACAGTATAGTGAGAAAACTCACCTGAACAGTTACTCAAATAACTATCAGTGAACCAACTTATGATCCAAGTGGCAAGCAACACGCCAAACATGTATTAACCTATAATGTTATTATCGATCAATAACTATGGAAATTTGATAACTAGTATATAGATCCTTCACCAATCCCATAAAAAATGAAATGACTATTAAATAAGGGTTGGATAGTCAATATAGTCGATAAGCAGGATCATTTCAGCGTATAGCCTTTCTGAAATCTAACAAGCAGGCCAACGTGTCTATCATAAACACTGCTCTCATAAGTAGATAAATCAGTATAATAATTAAGATTAATGATTAATCTAATTCACCATCATGGTCCCACCTTTGTCTCTATATATAGGGATGGAAAAAATCCCCATACCTGATGGGGAGCCCGAAACTCACACCTAATTTGTCTGGGGAATCCCCAAGTTGATCGGGAATGGAGAATCCCTAAAAATGTGGGGATGAGGATGGGATGGGACAATCCTTAGTTCCCGACACTGAACCTTGCCCCACTAGATATTAATATATAAAATAAAACAAAACATATATTTGTAGTAAAACTTATAATACCTAAAATTTGATCCAAATAGCTCAACTAATTAGTAATTACTTGGTTGGAATTATATTTTTTCTTATTTGTTTATGTAATTTAACCTCATGTATAATTTTTTCTCCTTGTTTTATCTATTGTTACTTCAAATATCGCTTTCATAATTTTTTTCTACTTGATTTTTCTTGTATGTATTTAAATTTGGTAGAAAATTTGTTTATAGTTTTTTTTATGCAATTTATGAATATTTTTATGGTTTGTAAAATTTTAATCTTATGTTGTTAAAATTGAAATTTAGAGTTTTTGTTTACTTAAATTTTTTTATATTAAAATAGAAAAAAATCCCTGATTCCCTTTTGGGGGTGGGGATAATGATTTATTTATATTTCCATTGGAGATGAGGATTGTAATGATGATTCGTGGATTGGATTGGGGTCCCCGCTATTCTCGGACCCAATTTTCATCTCTATCCATATATCACAAATCAATATACTTTTGTAATTAGAAAAAAATAACTATAAACAAATCCATTCTATTTTTTCACATATTTTCCATTAATCTTCGGTGGCTAATATTATTTTCAATTATATGCTTATTATTTTCCAGGGTGTTCTTATGTGGTATTAAAGTACCAAAATAATCATGTAAAGTGAAAAAAGTATCTTCACAAACAATAATTGTATGCTTACCAAGCATACTTTCTCTTCTAGATGGATTCTCATTCTTTTTATCGTTGGCATCCCCTCTATTTGTTTATGTTTTTAAGGGTGAGCACAAAAACCGAAAAATCGAACCAAAACCAAATTAACCGAATTAACCAAACCGTAATAACCGAACCAGTTTTATAACCGATGGTTCATTTTGTGTTTTTTATTAACCAATAAGTAGCGGTTTGGTATTGGTTTTATTGGATAACCGACCCATTATTAACCAAACGGATAGATTTATATCTAATTATATATAAATTATAAATTATATTGTTAATTTGATTAAGCCCAAGCCCAATTAAATATTGAAAAAAAAATCCATTAACCCTGAAAATGTTGATCATCCAATTACGCACACCACATCCCTAATCGGCTAATCGCATTGAGATTTGAGACTTGCCGTCTTGCCGAATATATCTATCAAGATTTGAGAGTTGCCGAATATGTGTATCAATTACTCAATTAACGTGATCACAGCGAGAAAGAAACAAAGACCAAAAGCTCTGCAAGACTTCAAGGCAAGTTGTTTTTCACTTTATAATCTAACATTTTGAACTTTTGATGTAGGTTGAAAGTTTTTTAATGCATTTTTTCTTTTTTGCTTTATTTGACTGTTTTTGACTCCTTGTGACTGACTAAATGTATTTTATTGAATGTTTTCTCAAACTCATATATGTTTTGTGTGGTCTTGTTTGCCATTATAAATATGCACACAAACAACTCAATTGTAATGATCATGTAAATTACTGAAAAATAATCAAATCTTAGATTGAATTTTTTGAAGGTAAGTTGCCATTATGATTTTTTTTTTCTGTGTGTTAAGTTGATTGCACCGTTACAAAACCAAAGATAATGAGATTTAAAAACAGAGTTGAAGTGGTAACAAAGGTAAGTGTTATATTCATTTTTATGCAATCTACTCTCTTTTTGTATCATTGCACTTTCAACTTTTATATCATTTTCCATTAACCATAACCAATATTATCCATACCCATTGGCTACAAAAATAAATTAACCGATTGTAATGGTTATGGTTCGGTCTTGGTTATAAGCCTATAACCGAATCAAACCGTCTCATACACACCCCTATATGTTTTGGTGGCGAGATAGAAATCAATTCAGCCGAATGTCGTGTATGTAACTCTTATTTAGTAGCCTAATGACATGTACACGTGATATACCACATAGCCACCACACTTTTCAAGTATACGACTAGGAAATTTCAATATTGAATGCATACATAATGTCTATCTCTTGGCTCAAACTAGTTTAACCCACTAGATACCAAACACAATGTTGTGTATTGTAAACATACCGATAAGTTGCTTTCCTTTTAACAAAGGGTAGATTTTAGGAAAAATGGGTAATCTAACCATAATTAAATATGTATTTAAAGAAAATAATAAAAAATATATATATTTTTGGTAAAAATAACCACCAATTCCGAAATGGACATTCAGACTTAGAAAAAAAAAATTGACAAAAAAGTACATTTCGGTCCATTCTAAAATCCGGACCAACATTCCAGATTCTAGAATCCGGACCAACATTCCAGATTCTAGACTGAAATAAGAGTTCAAAAAAAAAAGTCAAGAATTTCAAGAACAAATCTGAAATCTAATGTATAATTCCAGAATTTTCAGAAAAAAAATGATTTTTATTTAAATTTAACAAAAAGTTAAACAAACATAGTAAATATGAACTATATATGATATGACGACAAAAAAAAATCAGACATTTAATTGAAAAAAAAAATTTCGAAATGGATATTTCATACGTAAAAAAAGAGATTTATTTGGACAAAAAATTAAAAAAAATAAAACAAAAAATAATTCCAAAATCTAAAGATAAAACCGAAATTGGACATTCTGAGTAAATGGTTAATTTTTCAAACATTAAAAAAATTGGTTATTTTTTAAAAAAGGCTCATTGATTATTTATTCAATTTTCCTAAATTTAAATATACTTAATTAATGACAAAACTTTAAAAATGGTCCTTGTGGTTTTCGAAAATCTGAAGTTTAGTCCCTAATTTATAAAAACCTCACAAATGGTCCCTGTGGTTTCAAAGCTTTTAACAAATGGTCATTTTTGCTAATTCCGTTAACATTTAGCCGTTAAGTGAAGGAAATTTATGTCATTTCACAACCACAGTGACCATTTATGAAGTTTTGTCTTAATTTTTTTTTTTAAAAAGAAAAATAAATATAATTATTTAATATTAAAGGGCCCCACCCTCTCTCTCTCTCTCTCTCTCTCTCTCTCTCTCTCTCTCTCTCTCTCTCTCTCTCTCTCTCTCCCCCCCCCCCAACAACCCCACCCTTATTCCCTTCTTCCCCACTCCACCCCTTTCTTTCTGTTTTGCTCTCTTACATTCACTGGAAAAGCACCTGCAACCCAAAATAAAAAGGGAAAATTCAATCCCCGTTATCATATAACTTCACCTCTTCCACATTCGTCTGTAATTTATGATCTTCATTATTGCATCATCGTAACCATATTTGTTTGAAGTTTGTTGATTCTACAGTACTTCTCGGATCTTATCATTGCATATTTGTGAATAAATTTGCTCGACTGAATGTATAATATGGTGCAACAGGGCAATGTTTTGGTTCTGTCATTTCATCGAACACTTTATGTGCATAGAGTCTGATAATTTATTATGAATGAATGCACAATGATTCATCCATACCTTGGTTTATGAAATCCAACAGATAACAGAGGCATGTGCAGGGATGAATGTATTGAGGAAATTAACAAACAAGCGCTTAGAAATGTGGTTGTTGAAACTGAGAAAAGATTCAACTATTTTGCGCGTGAAGCACTGAAACACATACCTAACATCTATTCAGTTGGTTCTTGTTGTCGGGTTGGGATCATATGGAATAAGAAATTGTTCATTGCTAATTTGGGTGATTCCAGAGCTGTTTTAGGGCGTGCGAATCCACGAAATTTAAGCAAAGTCATCGCCCAGCCGCTTACAAATGATCATAATGCGAGCATGATGGAAGTGAGACGAGACCTGCAACTCGATCATCCAGAGGACCTCAACATTCTCGAGCGGTTGTTTCTCTCTCTTGGAGAACTGTTTGGACTCTTTAATTGGAGTGAGTCCGGAGATGTCGTGGAGGCTAGAAGCGCGGGGATGGAGGAGAGAGCTAAAGCTTCCCATAAAGCTTTTGACGATCCCTTTTCATTGCTTTTGTCTTCTTTGGCACCAAAACAGATGCGCCCCCCCCCCCCCCCCAATGACGGGACTGCTATGGTGGTCGTCGATGGCATTGTGGAGGGTTAGGAGATGTTACGGCTTCCAACGGTGATAAGGAGGTCGTCGGACCTCCTACGTGGGTTTCAGATTCTAACTCGAAGATGGTGGAGTTGAAGCCTTTGTGTGCATCTCGATTTAGCTGGATTTGGGTGAAAATGGGAGGAGGAGGGTAGGTTCTAGTGTTTCACTGTATATATGAGAGAGAGAGAGAGAGAGGGTGGGGCCCTTTAATATTAAATAATTATATTTATTTATTTCTTTATTTTTTAAATTAAGGCAAAACTTCATAAATGGTCCCTGTGGTTGTGAAATGATAGAAATGCCCTTCACTTAACGGATTTGTTAACGGAGTTAGCGAAAAGAACCATTTGTTAAAAGTTTTGAAACCACAGGGACCGTGTGTGAGGTTTTTATAAATTAGAGACTAAACTTCATATTTTCGAAGACCACAGGGACCATTTTTAAAGTTTTGTCCTTAATTAATTCTTCATTTTAAACAACGGTTCCATTACAATTACAAATATTATTATTTCACCTAGGATTATAATTATGGATCTCCTTTCGGGCGTGTACCCTAAAATCGATTGAATCTTGAACTATTACCAAAATAATAATAATAATAATAATAATAATAATAATAATAAGTTCATTTCATGAAACTGCAAATTGAGGGACAAATGTGTAACTTTGGGCTTTTCGCCTATTTTAGGTTGGTGTCTACTATAGGCAGAAATTAGTCCACGTGTATAGTATACGTGTCAGCATCTTTTGCTTGCCATCTGGCTTCTCTTTTCCTTCATTGTCCCCTCTTCGAAACAATCAGACTCCAGTTACTTCTTGATTCTCTGAATTCGTCCATCGAAAGCAACACTGATACGATTATTATGTCTCGTTTAATTCATTCCAGACTATCGCTCTCCAGATTATCGTAAGTTTTCAATCTTTATTTGCCCCGTTTCCCCCCAGTAATTCGTCAAACATGAAGCCCGAAATGAGCCCCTATCAAACAGATCAAATGGGTTTTCCTCTTTTCACCAGAGTCTAAAAACTCACTCTTTCTTTTTAATCAGGGTAGTAATTTATCGAGTTTATCTATAGTTTTGGATATGGGTTTAGATTTTTATAAGTGTAAAAGAAACCACATCCCTTGTAAATCGAGTGGGTTTCTTTTTCCCTCTTTTTGGTGTAATTACGGTGAATGTAGACTACGAAGGTAAATTTCTTGTAATCAAAGTCGCGTTTAGTGAAAACTAAAGGTAGTTTATGTTAATCGTTCCCTTTAGCATTCTCAATTTTGAGAAATGGACTTTAATTGTGTGATGAAAAGGGATTATTAGGAGTTTTAATTCATTCGTTCGTCGATTATTTTGACTCACATTATTCTGAATTGCTTGATTTGTATGTAAAGCTGTAGCAATACATGGGGTTCAATCGGAAGAGGAAGATATTTGTCAACGGAATCTAATAAGATCGATGAACCACTTAAAGTAGAGGATGCTGAGACAATAAATACTCCACCACCTGCTTCAGAAAAGGTTCTTTTAGGTTATATTACCTTTGTTTTTGTGAGACTATTTTTATATATTTCTTCATAAAGGGTGATAAGATTACAATACCCAATCTAAACAAGGATATTTAATGTCCAAATAGCACATAGTTTACAATGAGTTTGAACACTTGTGAAATATCTAAACACATCTGAAGAAATCGTTACTATTACTATCTTTTCATAATTACTTTAGGGCACATAAGTAACATTGTAATGGAACTCTTCCAAAAAAGGGAATGCTTCATTATTTAGGTATCTGATCTTGTTAGCAACTTGTGAGAGAAGTTCTTTACTTTTGAGATGTATAGTGAATAGAGTCTTGCCATATTGCATATGTATAGATGTATGTATGTATATGTATTAAGATATTTATTTGTAATGTTCTTTTGAACCAGGTACTTGTGTTGGGTGGAAATGGGTTTGTTGGGTCCCACATATGCAAAGAAGCATTGGACCGAGGCTTGTCAGTTGCAAGCCTTAGCAGGTATGTTTAGTTCACTTAATATGTGTTCATTGATTCCATTTATGATTTCTTTTTTACTTAATTCACTTAATCCAGACAAATATACAAGGGTGTTTCTTTTTCAGTTAACATATATAGGGCTTAATGTGTAAAGTGAAAGGATGAAGGATTATCTATTAAGAAAGAAGGGTAAAATAGTCATTTACTCTTATTCAGACAGTTCATTCAGTCCAAAAAAGAAACCGCATCACTTACTCCATACAAAACTTCATTTATCCATATAATAGTTAATGTAAAGAAAAGGCCCTTAGATTTTGATACATTTGTCCCAGTTTCTTTGAATTGATATTTGTGGATTAAGATATAAACTAGAAAGCATTTTACTTTGAAATGATCTCATAGAAGACAATTTACAATAACAAATTGGTGAAATTAGTATTGAAATTAGATGTTGATTAACTTTCTTTTGTAGATCTGGCAAGCCCTCTATCAAAGATCCATGGGCAAACAAAGTGAGTTGGCATCAAGGTATTTTGTTCATGACACATGATTCACTTTTTATTTTAATGGAAAATTATGGAAAATATAAATATACTTGCCATCTGTATGTATTCATATCTTTTGCTTGATGTGATTGTAGGTGACTTGCTATCTGGTGATTCATGGAAGGAAGCACTCAATGAAGTCACTTCTGTTGTATGTATTGTCTTCTTAGTTCTTCTTCTTCATAAAGCTCCTTTATTAATATTGTCAAAAACTAGGGCACATTTTACATGTGTAGTTTATCATTGGCTAATTTGTGTTGTAAATTATCATACAAATTTTAAAATTCGGTTTAAATCATTCAGATATCTTGTGTTGGTGGTTTTGGTTCCAACACCTTCATGTACAAGATCAATGGAACTGCAAACATAAATGCTGTTAGAGCTGCAGCTGAAAAAGGTTTAAACTAAATCCATTTTGTGCCTTTATTTAACTTACTTTTTTTTATATGGTTACCAATCCATTAATTTAATTGTAATTTTATAACTGGTTATTATTATCTACAGGGATTAAAAGATTTGTCTACATATCTGCTTCTGACTTTGGTGTGATTAATTACTTGCTACAAGGATATTATGAGGGAAAGGTAATTCTTTTTTCAGGGTAAATTATGGAACTGAAAGGAAAATATAAACAAGGGCAAATTTGGAAAAAAAAAATATATTATTGTTCCAGTTTCGATTATTCACCTATTCACCTACACATTTCTATAATGCAGAGAGCTACTGAAACAGAGTTGCTAACAAAGTTTCCATATGGACGTGAGTATCATATAATATATGATATATGATATATCGCCTTTTTTTTTATGACAATAACTTTTTAATTTTTTATTTTATTTTTGTATGTATTATGACAATAACTTTTTAAAATTTTTTTAGATGTGATTTTGAGGCCTGGTTTCATTTATGGGACACGTAGAGTTGGCAACATGAAGTTGCCTCTTGGAGTAATCGGTTCTCCACTTGAGATGGTAAGTATGTTTTAGAAGGAATGGAATGCTTGATTCCGATGGAATGAACCATTCCATTCCTTCCCTGATTCCATCGACCAATAACCCTCGATAATAACTTATGTTACCGCAGGTTCTACAATATGCAAAGTCACTAAACCAGATTCCAGTCATTGGTCCATTGCTAACTCCACCTGTGGATGTTAAAGCTGTAGCAAAAGTTGCTGTTAGAGGGGCTATTGATCCTGTATTCCCTCCTGGAATTGTTGATGTCTATGGAATAAGACGTTATAGCCAACAAAAAGCTTTTTAAATTAACCGGATCTTTTTCCACATCAAGTTATTGATAGAGAGATCAGAATATTACTTCATAGAGGTTAATAAAATAGATGAAATGATGAATGTCTTGCATTGTTTTAAACATGGGTAATTCGGGTTATTATTAAAATTGTGTCTTTGGTCTTTTTTATATGTAAAAGAAAGGGGATATGCATATGCCATGCTTTGGGAGTTGCCACTAACCAATAAAGTGTCATTATCATGTTCAATCAACATATTATTCTTTAAGTAACGATGATTTAAAGTTGAGTCCAATCACGATCATTGACACCTTTTGCTTTTGTTCTTCCATTGAGGAAAAGACAGAGGTCCACACTTGTGGAATTTATAGTACATGAAGTTGACTGTTAGTTACATTTTGAATTATAGAAGTTAAGGTATATCGAAATGGAGTTCAAACATTATCTTTTACATCAAATTACACTATATTTTGGGGGCGTTTTGGATTGCTTACTTAAAATAATTGAAGTTTTTTTTTTTTTTTTTTTTTTTAAATGGTTATTAGTTTACCCGGTGTAAAAATGAGATTTTAGAAAAAAAAATGTTTGGATTAACTAACCTACTTGTGCATGTAAAATGACCAAAGACATCCTGCATGTAAAATGACCAAAGACATCCTGCATATTATTAAAATATAACTTATCGAAAAGTGCTTATTAATAGTATCATATCGCAATAAGCAGATTTCTTTGTGCGATCGAACACTTTAAATAAGCAATCTCAAACATTTTTACCATTAAAAAATATGTTAGGTATATTGCAAAACACCTCTTAGCCTTAAAAAAATATAAAAGGTCTATTCCAAATAGGAGAATGGTCTTGTCAAAGTAAACATGAGGAGAGAAGATTATTTTATAGATGTATAGGTCAAGGAATCAGTATCTACGATGAGAGTATATTGTATAGACAGGTAGCCATGTGAAGGGATTAGACCCAGAAGTGAGGTGGGGTGGGCATGGAATAGAATGGTATGAATGATATTATTTATGGAGCGAAACATACATTTAGATTTACCGTTCTGTTGGGGTTGGGATGTGTGAGGACATGAAAATCAAAACTGAATATCATATGTTGAAAAAAGGAGGTGAAATTGGGAGTTATTGTATTCACGACCAATGTTACATCGAAAGGACTGAATGTTACACCCGAATTGGTTTGGAACATAATAAGCATGCAATTGT